ACTGCAGACTGGAAGTCAATGCTGTATGTCATCCCAAACCGGATCATGTTCGACGGGAAATATCCCAGAGGCCACTGTTGGGTCCACCGACCACAGAGGAATCCAGATGATAGATAAAAGTATCATAGCACACTTAACTGACTAAAATAGGTAACGACACTGTGGCAATAAAGAAGACATCTTTTAAAAAAAATTACATCGAAATATTTAAGGGTCAAGAGTCAGGATGATACAACTTATTTTCAGATGGTGGGAAGACAAAAATAGTGGGGCGGAGAAGTCATGACGCGTTTTTCTGTGCAAAAATGTGTCATGACTTTTCTGACGACGCAATAAAAATGCTCTTTCTAAAAACAGGGCTGGGAGGCCATGAAGGAAGCAGGGCCTGCTCTTCTGCCTGGAATGTGAGCTCCAGTCCACTCATCTTTGGTGCCGGGCATCTGGAATAGCTCAAAATCCATGCCAAGAACTTAGGAGACCTTTGCTTTCTGAACATACACATTCTTCCCTTATCTTCCACTGGCCATACAACCTTTGCATTTCTTCCATCTCCAGAAGAAACTTCTCTTTTAACAATGTGAACAGGGCCAGGTGGTGGCACAGTGGTAAAACGTGACGTTCTGCGAGGCTGACGCACGAGGAAAGGTTCTGGGTTCACATCCAGAGACCTCCCTGGGTATGTCAGGCATGTGTGTGCACACAACCTGGGGCTGGCTGCAGCTGGGTGTTTATCACAGAGCCAAGGGTCTGCTGGGGGATGCATTCTCTTCTCTCTTTCTCTCTCTCTCTTGCTCATGGAAGAAATAGCAAAAAGAAAAAAAGGCTAACAAGGGAATATTATTAAAAGAAAAACACAGGACCAGGCGTGAGCATAATGGTTATGTTGCTGGACTTCCATGAAGTCGACTGTGGTTCGAGTCCCAGACCTGGTGTTTTAAACTCACGCCGGGCGCGTGTGCGTGCGTGCCCAAGATCCCAAGAGGAAAATGGAGGAGAAGGGATTGCGGCGTGGCGATCCCCCCTGGGAAGTGATTTCTTGCCTTCTGTCTCTCTCTGCCTTTCTGGCGAGCGCACGCGCCCTATAGCAAAAGCCTCTAATAAAAAAGTAAAACACACTGTAAATTCAACAAATTAGACAAAACAGATACATTTCTTGTTAAAGATGATTAACTGAATATTCACAAGTCAACTAACGTAATGTAAATGAACACGACAACAGTACCCCATTGCATACCCACTACCATGACTATAATAAAAAAGAGCACACGCCAGGTGTTGGCAAGGACCGGGAGACATTAGAGCTCTGACACATTGCTGGTAGGACATTAGATGGTGCAGCCACTTCACACAGCAGTCTGGTGGCTCCTCAGAATGTTAAACTTATTGTAAGACCCAAAAATTCTACTCCTAGATACATATCCAAGAGAAACGAAAACATATGTCCATGTGAAAACATGTACATTGGACCAGCCCCGTGAGCTGGTGTTTAGGGGAGCTGGATCCCACATGGCTGACTGCTATTCGAATTCTGGCCCTCGCAGCTTGGAAATCACACCAAGCATGTGTGCACGCATGCCTAAGATCACAGCAAGATGGAGAAATGGGGGAGAAGGAATTTAGTATGACCGTGTACCATCGGGGCGTGCTTTCTCCCTCGCACACAATAGAGAGAAGATTATGGTATGACCATTTTCTAACCAAAAACAAACAAACTTGTATGTAAATACTGCAACAACATGTTTTAGTCCATTATTGTGTTGATAAACAGAAATATCTAAGCCTGGGTGACATATAAAGAAATAAAAGGTTTATCTGGCTCACAGTTCTAGTGATGGACATGCTGAAGACGTGGAGCTGACAGTAGGCCAGCCCCTGGTGCTACGTCAGACATGGCTGACAGAGGCACAGCGGAGAGCAGTGATATGCAGAGAGCAACCTGCAGGCAGCTCGTTCACTTCTGTAACAACCCACTCTTGCAGGAACTACCTCATTCTCAAGACTAAGAACTTACTCCCTCCCATGAGATTGCCATTAATCGGGTCACAGGAGTGGTGCCCCACGATGCAAACACTGCCCAGCAGGCCGTACCTCCATCATGGCCCAACACCTCTCAGTCCCATCACCCTGGAGAGCACATGAACCACATCTGAACCATAGCATAACGTTATTCATACTAGCCAGAAAGTAGAAAAATGCCAGATGTCAACTGACGGATGAATATACATCAAGAAATGGGACCAGTAGATGGCATAATGGTTAAATTGTGGGACTCCCACATAGTCAATTGTGGTTCTAGTCCTAGACCCAGTGGCTTGAAACTCATGCCAGGTGCGTGTGCGTGCGTGCCCAAGATCCCGAGAGGAGAGTGGAGGAGAAGGGATTGCGGTGTGGCCATCCCCCCTAGGGGGTGATTTCTCCCTTTCTGTCTGTCTGTCTGTCTGGCGAGTGCACGCCCCCTATGGCGAAAACCCCCCCAAAAAAAAAAAAAAAGAAACCTAAACATTGTGAAGGTGTCAAATCTGAAGTAATCTATTAATTCAATGCAATCCCTATGAAAATCTCAGATGGCACAGAGTCTAACCTTTATATAGAATTGTGAAGAACCTGAATTAGCCAAGAGAATTTTGTAAAAGAACACAGTTGGAAGGTTTCATTACCTGACTTCAAGGCTTACTATAAAGTTAAAGGAACCGAGAAAGAACAGAGCCATGAGAGCAATGGAGCAGAACAGATTCTAAATAGATCCACATTACAAACGGCTAATGAGGTTTTGACAAAGTCGATGCGGTAATTCAATTGGGAGAGGACAGTCTTCTTAACAAACGATGCTGGAAAACTAGCGAGTCATATTTTAAATATAGGGGGAAGGTTGCTACATGCAATACTGGAGCTATGTAGGAAGGTCTAGGGTTCAGATCCCAGGTCGACCTAACCACACTCCAGGGGCGTCCACAATGCTCGCCGACTGGAATGCTGGGAAAAGATCGTGACATGACAAAGACCGGACTCCGGGGGGTACCTGTCTCTGTCCGACTCTCTAGTTCTCTGTCTCATAAAATAAACAGACTTCAAAATAAAAAATGACATTGACACTTACTTCATACAATACACAAACATAAAGGGAAATGTATCATAGATTTAAATGTAAATGCTGGGTGTGACGGTCACAGCACTGAACCCCTACATAGTTAACTGCAGGTCAAGTTCGGAACCCGGCAGCTTAAAACTCACGCCGGGCGCGTGTGTGTGTGCCCAAGATCCCGAGGAGAATGCAGGAGAAGGGATTGCGGCGTGGCCATCGAAGCCGGGGGAGGATTTCACACTGTCTCTCTGTCTCTCTCTGTCTCTCTCTGTCCCTCTGACGAGCACACATACTGTATAGTAAAAATCTCAATCAATCAAATAAATATATATATATAAATAAATGTAAAAGCTAAAATTAGATCACCTCTATGATGAAGTGGTAACATTCAGCTCAAGCAAAACTGGAGCCCACAAACTGAGGTTCAAATCACCAGCCACGTCCCCTCAAACAGGCGAGGTGTGCATGTGCGTGGCCAGCATGCAGTGGGATGGAAAACGAGGAAGGGGATCATGGTGTGCCCAGACGCGGTAGTGGGTGTTCACATCTCTCCTCTCGTGTACGTGCATGCACTATCATAAATAAATAGATGGAAAACGAGGAAGGGGATCATGGTGTGCTCAGATGCGGTAGTGGGTGTTCACATCTCTCCTCTCATGTACGTGCATGCACTATCATAAATAAATTTAAGGGAAGAAAATTCCTTTTAAGAGAGAGATGTTTGCTATAGGGCATGTGTACTCGCCAGAGATACAGAGACAGAAAGTGAGAAATTACCCCCCAGGGGAATGTCCACACAGCAATCCCTTCTCCTCCTTTCTCCTCTCAGGATTATGGGCACGCACGCACATGTGCCCAGCCTGAGTTTTAAGCAACTGGGTCTGGGACTCAGATGGCAGTCAACTACATGGGAGCCCAGAGATGTAACCATTACGCCATCTGCTGGTCCCAGAAGTTTTTTTAAAAACTAAAATTATAAAAATCCCTAAAAAAAAAAAAACCTGAGGAAAAATCTTTGTGATCTTAAGATGGGCAAATATTTTATTGATATGTAACATAATCGGTAATATAAAAATATCCCACAAAAAGCATAAGCCGTAAGTTTAAAAAATGATTAATCAGGCCTTGCCAAAATTAAAAACATCTGCTTCCCAAAAACACCATTAAAGTTATATAATGACAAGGCAAGCCAGGGCTTACGCTGAAATACTCACAGCGTGTGTACTTGACAAACGACTGGTATCCAGAATACAAATAACTCTTATTTACAACTCAATAAAAAAAGCTAATGGACAAAACGTTTCAAAAGATAATTTATCCAAGAATATGTATAAATAGCAAATAAGCATATGAAAAGATGTTGGACATAATTAGTCACAAGAAAATGCAAATGAAAACCATCATGCGATATCATTATACTGACTACTAAAACCAATAACGAACATACCAGCTGTGTAGAATACGGAAAAACGGAACTCTTGCATGATGCGAAACAGTGCGGTGCAGTTCTCAGAAACATCAGGAAGTAGGTAGTAACATCAATCCCTTATCTTATGAATGAGAAATCTGAGCTTCAGGGCTATCGAGTCAGTCGGCCCAGGCACCCGGCCATAAAACTGAAAAACTGGGACCATGACCCAGGCTCTCTCAACCCACTCTTCACCACTGCGATCTCTCTAGTTTCCGGGAAGATGCTGACAGCTGGCAACGGGCATGTGTCCGAGAAAATGACGTGGGGACTGGGGACAGGGCGAGGGGAAGGCTAACTTCTCAGAGTCTACTCAAGGTAACTTTCGAGGCAATACCTGTTATCAAAAATGTGCTTATTAAAAAATGTTTCTTATGGCTTAGAATCTCTGAGCAATACAAAACTGCTTCATTGAGAGGGTAAGTGTAACTCCCTGCTTCATTACTGTACCTGATTTGGGGTGCAAAGCGTCACACTGGGCGTTGTACATGTGTACGAACTCTTGGTGCCTTTTAATGAGTTGGTGTTTATTTCCTTGAATAGACAATCCGTGCTCTTTAAGCTTTTTCTTTAGATCGCGATCGGAGAGCAAGTTATATACGGTTTTGGGCAGCGGCTTCCTTTTGTGAACAGAACTGAAAAAAAGGAAAATAAAGACATCTCTAAGGGTTACTGGCAATTACAAACGCTTTTCACGTAAAGCAGTCATCTGCCTTCTCACTCCGTACCTGGGTGGCTGGGAAAATAGAACCCTTAAGATAAAAAAGAGCAAAGGAGGAACAAGTTTGCAGAGAACGTGGACAGCATAGACATGAGGTCTCCAGGTGCCAGTGGGACACCCAGGGGGAGGAGCCTAGGTGACACCAGGAGTGAGAGACAGGGCTCAGAAAGAGGTCAGGCCTAAAAGAGCAGACGCATGACTCAGAGGAAAGACTGGGGACTAAACGCTATGAGATTTTCTCTTAGAATCACACTTATGGGGACCTATTCGGCTCTCCAGTTTCCTCAAAAGATGCTTCTCCTAACGTTGCATGGTGTCCACGCAGAAACCAGTTAACTCACATCGTTATATTACAACTGCCACTGGAGGTCAGGCTATGGGCTTATGGACAGATTATCCCATACAGTTTCTTAAAAGTTCTGGTCCACAGGCAAAACCGTACCCTCAGACTCAAGGCAATCATCCTGCAAAAGCGCTAGGCCTGTTAGGAGGGTCAGTTTTACCCGACTCATTACCACCACTGAGAGACGAATTCAGAAAGCTGATGAGTGGGTAATATCCTTGTGGTATCATCTTCAAAAATAACGGAAAACAAAGAAATAGGACGTGGTTTTGTTCTGCTCAGTTTCAAACACATATGTTAATAAATATTTACAGTGTTACAAGTACAGTGTTAGCAAAATCACCACCCGGTTCTCTCATTCTATACATAATACACTGGTGAGCATTAAACTGTAATTTTAAATATAACAAAGCCATATGAAATTACTTTTTCATATCCATGCCAACAAAAATAAATAAACGTTATTCCTGGGACCAGCAGTTGGTGTAACGGCTACGTCACTAGACTCCCATGTAGTCAATGTCACTAGACTCCCATGTGGTCAATTGCAGTTCAAGTCCCGGACCCGGTGGCTTAAACTCTCACTGGGCGCGTGTGCGTGCATGCCCAAGATCCTGAGAATGGAGGAGAAGGGATTGCGTCGTGGATATTGCTCCTGAGGAGATGATTTCTCACTTTCTGTCTGTCTCTCTGACTTTCTGGTGAGCACACGCACCCTATAGCAAAAAACCTCTCAAAAAAAAAAAAAAAAAGTAAATAAACATTATTTCTTAAAATGGATCAAACCTCAAGCTACCTTGAAGTACCAATAACTTGAGACTTAATTTTTTTTTTTTTAAGTTTTTGCCAGAAAGACAGAGAGGGAAAGTGAGAAATCACTCCCCAGCAGGGACAGCTGCATCACAATCCCTTCTCCATTCTCGCCCTGGGATTTTGGGCATGCGTGCACACGCACCTAGCATGATTTTCAAGCCACCAGATCCAGGTATCGAATCCCAGTTGGCCATGTGGGAGTCCACCACCTTAACCACTATGCCACCTGCTGGCTTCAACTTGAGACGACCTTATAAATAGAAACTCCTTCATTTTAATCCATTTCATCTGATTCAACTCTACGGCGGCTAGGCGCTCATTATATAGGTGCTCAAGGTGGTCATAAACGCAATCATTCAAAATTGATCATAGCAAAGGTTAAAATGAATGGGAACTCGGGAACCAGCAGTTAGCGCAATGGCTATGTCGCTGGACTCCCATGTAGTCGACCGCGGTTCGTGTCCCGGACCCGGTGGCTTAAAACTCACGCCGGGCGCGTGTGCGTGCATGCCCAAGATCCCGAGAGGAGAATGGAGGAGAAGGGATTGCGGATTGCGGCGTGACCATCCCCCCTGGGGGGTGATTTCTCGCTTTCTGTCTCTATGTCTCTCTCTGTCTGTCTGGCGAGCGCACGCGCCCTACAGTGAAAATCTCTCCAAAAAAAAAAAAAGAAAAATGAATGGGAACTCGAAAGTGTTAGATTTATCCCCTCCCCCCCCCAAAAAAAAAAAGATTTGACAAAGGATTTGCATATAACTAATTCACACACAGCTGTGCTCCCCAAACTCTAGCACACCTCAGAATCACTTGGAGAACGGTTTGAATTGCAGATTTCCAGTCCCTCTCCACCAATCCTGGTTCAGGTCTGAAGTACAGATCTAAAAATCTGCTTTTCAACAAGGGTTCCCAGGGTAAATAGAACACAAATGTTGGAAAGGTCATACTTAGGGAAATATTGTACTAGGTCATCGGAAAAGCCAGGTCACATTTTGCAATAGTAAAATACGTCATGACTTGGGACCAGCAGTTGGGGTAATGGCTATGTTGCTGGACTCCCATGTGGTCGACCGTGGTTCAAGTCCCGGACCCAGTGTCTTAAACTCATGCAAGGCACGTGTGCGTGTGTGCCCAAGATCCCGAGAGGAGAATGGAGGAGAAGGGACTGAGGTGTGGCCATCCCCCCAGGGGGTGATTTCTCGCTTTCTGTCTCTATCTATCTATCTTTCTGGTGAGCAAACGTGCCCTATATCAAAAAAGAAAAAATCTCTCCAAAAAGGAAAGAAAAATACATCATGACTCTTGTGACGACCCAATAGTTGAGTATAGAACGAAAATAACCAAACATTTCTCGATAAGTCAACAATCCCATTTCCTTACTACATTATTTCTTTAATGCTCTAGTAATAAAGTCTAAAACCTAGAAATAACGTTTTTGCTTAGCTGTAAAAAGACCTGCAAACCCCCCAGCAAATTTTACTTCTCCAAGAACGGCTCTTTTTATAATGACAGCCTATCAGCCTCTATGAGACTGAAAAAGTCAAGGCAAAAATAAAATCCCAGTAGGTGGCAACTGCTGTATTGTTTTTTACACAGGCTTTTACACAGGCACTCGGAGAAGGACGATTCATTCAATCTGTATCCAAAACATTTCTTTATCCAGGATAGAAGACGAAACTCATGGCTGTGGAAGCTAATGAAGAGCCCCCCTGTTTACGGGCAGTTACAACGAAAAACACCAGTTTCTACACAATTCTTCCAGTATGAAATTAAAATGCCACATGAATGCTGCCCCCAACATGAAAACGGCATGGACCTTTCTTCCACGACTTGGCGAAACTACACACAGGTTCAGTATCCCCGATCTGAAAATCCCAAATCCAAAATGCCCCCAAATGCAGTACTTGTTGGAGTGCAGACTTGACACCAGAAGTGGCGATTTCATTCCTGACTTCATGCAACAGGCTAACAGTCAAAACACAGGTGCACGACATGGGTTATTCGGCAGCCCCGGGGACCCCGCATTAGTAGGAATCCCATACGGCCAGCAGGTGGTGTGGTGGTTAAGGTACTGGACTCCCACATGACCAACCACAGTTTGAGTCACGGACCCGGTAGCTTATCGCAAAATTAAAATAATAATAAATAAAATTTAAAAAAAATACTATGTCACATTACTGTCAGATATTTACGAGTAAGTGTAAGAAAACGACTGCTTACTGGTAGTAGTGTACAGAATCAGAGTGACGATGATGGCACCGGAGAACCGCACACTGTCCACGTGGGTGGCTGAGACAGTGGCACGTTTGCTTTCTGACGGGTGCAATGCACACAAACTTTGTTTAATGCACAGACATATTAAAAATATTATAAAAAATTACCTTCAAGCTACATGGGTGAGGTATACATGAAGCAAACATATTTGGTGTGCTTAGACTTGGCGCTATCCTCAAGATACCTCATTACGTGTGAACAAGTACTCCAAAATCTAAAAAAAAAAAATCTGAAATCCAGAACACTTCCAGTTCCAAGCATTATTATTTTTTTTTTTTGAGAGATTTCTGCTCGTGTGTGCTTGCCAGAAAGAGAGAGACAGAGAGACAGAAAGCGAGAAATCACTCCCCCGGGGAATGGCCACACCGCAATCCCTTCTCCTCCATTCTCCTCTCGGGATCTTGGGCACACACACACACACGCGCGCCCAGTGTGAATTTAGGCCACTGGGTCCGGGACTCGAACCGCGGTCAACTACGTGGGAGGCCAACGACATAGCCATTACGCCAACTGCTGGTTCCCCAGTTCCAAGCATTTCTGATACGAGATACCTAACCTATAATACACTACAGAGGCCTCAGACACTGAAGACCTCAAGAGAAAGACAGTAATCTCGGAATCAACTCTGATACTCCGCACAGGAAAAACACAGAAAACCCGTCATGACTTCTCTGCCGACCCAGTAGAGGGAAGGAGGGAAGGAGGTGAGGACTGTCAGCCACCGCTGGGACACGGTCTGCCTGGGTGCTGTGCGAGAGGCGGAAGGCAGGCGCTCTCTGTGAGAGCAGACCCCAGCCTCGGGATACAAGTGAGACACACGGCCCGGTGCCTCCTGACGCGTACAAGGCGACGTCGGGACGCATACTGAAAACTGAAACTAAAGTCCGAGCTTATTTAGGTGAAAAAAAAAAAATTAATACTTTCCTAACATGCACTTTCTACGAAGATTCTGAAGATCCCTTGTATCTTCACAAACACCAATTTTGCAAGATGTGGGTCATGAGCGTAAAACGGTGTAGAGTCAAATAAGCTTAGAAATCACTGGAATAAATGAAACTCAACAGTTATCTTTAATGTAAGACTTCTCAGAGCACTCAATACTAAGCATGCAGTGCTGCTTATTTTTGGGGGGAGAGGTTTTTGCTGTAGGGCACGTGCGCTCACCAGAAAGACAGAGAGACAGAGAGACAGAAAGCGAGAAATCACCCCCAGGGGAAGATGGCACGCCACAATCCCTTCTCCTCCATTCTCCTCTCAGGATCTTGGGCATGCACGCACATGCGCCCAGTGTGAGTTTAAGCCACCAGGTCTGGGACTCGAACTGTTGTCGACTACATGGGAGTCCAGTGACATAGCCATTATGCTAACTGCTGGTCCGATGTACAGTGCTTGTAAGTTATAGTACTCTATAGAGCAGAATTTGAAACCGCTATTGGAACTTAATTCCACATGAACAAGTATATTTGGACAATGGACGGGGCTAAACG